CTCTGTCCCAAAAATAAATAAACGTTGAAAAAAAAATTGAAATAAACATTTTTAAAAAAGGAATGTAAATTTGGTACGGCCCCTTTATAGTATCTAGCACAACTGAAAGAAAGCCTTTCGCCCCAGAAATTCCATTTCTAGGTGCATCCCCTGGGGAAACTTCTGCACATGTACATGTTAGGACACATACGACACTGTTGCTGTGAAAAGTCACACAACCTACAAGCCCATTCATAGGGAGATAAATTGTAGCACGCTCATACAATGGATACTGTAGTTAAAATGACTTTGCAACTATGTATTCACGTGGATAATCCTGAAAGCATAAAGTTGAGCACAGAAAGCAAGTCTCAGGCTGACTTCCAGTGTATGACAATTAAGAAACTATTTACACTGAAAAACACACCCATGAAAATCATACCTTGTATCATTCATTGAGAGGCGTAGATACATATAAAAGTGTGTAAAATAGACCTCCAGGAAGGTGGAGGGGGGGGAAGGGGCTGGGAATGAGAATGAACAGGACTCCAGCTTTCTTAGTAATATTGTATTTTCTTGTATTAAAACAAAGAAGATACTTGAAGTATCTTTTATACTTTCATACTGTCGCTCGTACTGTTACTTCCGCGTGGCGGGCACACGGGGTTTGTGTTTCTCTACAGTTTTATAATGGAGTCCAAAATGGCTTTGGGTGGACTTTTCCAAATGCCAACCAGAAAGCCACTGTGTTACAGTCTCTCTCTCTCTCTCCCCCCCTTTATTTACTTGTTTATTATTTAACTTTTTAAAGCTTATTTATTTATTTTGAGAGAGAGGAAGACAGCAGGAGGGAGAGAGAGAGAATCCCAAGCGCTGTCAGCACAGAGCCCGACGCGGGGCTTGAACCCACGAACCGCAAGATCACGACCCGAGCTGCAACCAAGAGGCAGAGACGCTCAACCGCCTGAGCCACCCAGGTGCCCCTTTTTGGAAGCAGTGCATCCCCTAGTCATGAGGGCCTACCTTGGCAGAAATGGTTATGAAGGGACTTTCACACAGTACCCATTCCCTGGCCAGGAAGCAAAGGAATTTTACTCCTTGCTGATGAGGACAAAATCAAAAAGCGCTTGGAGACCAGGAAAAACAATATTCTCTGCCAGAGAATGGGGTAGGGGAGTGGGAGAGAAATATCAAGGGTTTGACTGAAAGGAAAGTGAATGGGGCTAGGCTAAAATAAAATTATTATTATCTTTTTAACAACGAGAGCATCCTCAGTACTTTGGCTTTTAAATCTCCCGCAAAGAGGCATGTCCTGAAGTCACTGAAGAGGTTCCAGGAAGGTTTCCTTGGCGCCCAGGTAAACACTCATTGATTAAAAGCATCTCCTTCAAACTGTAGGAAAGTCTTAACTTCATTTTGTCAACCTGCCTTAACCGCACTAATGGAAAACTTAAAAAAGAAAAGAAACACTCGTGAGTTAACTAGCTGCTTTTGTATAATTTTTTTTTAATGTTTATTCATTTTTGAGAGACAGAGAGAGACAGAGCATGAGCGGGGAAGGGGCAGAGAGAGATGGAGACACAGAATCCGAAGCAGGCTCCAGGCTCCGAGCTGTCAGCACAGAGCCCGACGCGGGGCTCGAACTCATGAACTGTGAGATCATGACCTGAGCGGAAGTCGGGCGCTCAACCGACGGAGCCACCCAGGCGCCCCAACCAGCTGCTTTTGAAAGTCGCAGTAACTATAGCAGGCATTCGCCAAGGGACCATTGACTTGTTTCATGGTGTGGACACTTCCTTGTTCCTCCCTTTTTTTTTTTCTCCCCAGGCTAGTCAAGTTGGAGGGGACCCTGAGGAGGGGCAGGGGGGACAGAGGAAATGGAAATGCTCGACCGGAAGGGCGGCCCACGGCAAGCTGGAACGGATCTAGACGAAGGTGGGAGTTTGAAATGCCAAAAGAAACACCATTCATTCTCATCGCCTCACCGTTTTCCCTATCCCACTTGGCCACTTCCGGGGCCTGAATTCATTCATTCCCCATTTATTGAACATCTACAACGTGCCAGACACGGTGCTAGCGCCCAGCATAGGTCCTAACAGAGCTCAACAGTCCTGCCAAAGCAGTGACCCACGGGGCAACAGGAGGGGAAACAGGCCCTTGGTTCACTGAATACCTTGACGGACTAGGAATAGGAACCTTGTCTTTGATCAGTCTGGTTTACAAAGGAGGGTCTTCCTCTCAAATCTCCAAAATTAAAAGGAACCAGAGGAAGGAGTCCTTTCTTCTCAGGCTCTTACCATCTGAACAGGCAATGACCACCAATCCTTCCCCTTTAGAATTGGACAGTCAAAGCAGGCAACCCTGATAGGCCATCGATGACATCGGCTTAAGCTCTTGTCTGATTGCCTGGGGCGGCAGTGGCCCCCTTTCTGCTCTCCTCCCCCAGCTCGCTTCCCACGCAAGCACAGAAGCTTTTCCCAGGGAGACTGGGTAAGCTGGTGAACAGCAGTGACCCTTGCCTTTCAGCCGCAATGATATTTCACACACCCTGGACATATGTAGGTAGAGCTTCAACCTAACGTAGCTTAGCAGCCAGACCCAAGCTCATGACGTGGTTATACAATAAAGAGGTGGTGTTGGTTATGAACTATTTCAGTGTTGCAGGGACCCAGGCCAATGTTTATACAGCTAGACGAGGAGTCGTGGCGTAAAGTTGGATGAGCATCTACTATTTGATGTATTTGAAAGCCATCTACTGTGTTACGTACTATTTATTGCAAGGACCTAGCTCCTAAAAGACTATGGAGTGGACTTTTGATCAGAAATCCAAGTGAGCAGACAGACGACGGTGGGCAGAGCCCTGGACTAAGGAGCCAGAAGACCCGGGTTCAAGCTCCAACTCTGCCATTAATTCTCTCTGGGGGCAAGTCAATTAACCACTCCATTTCCTGAACATTCTGGATGCTTACGCTTTGTTCAAACCCACGATCATAGGCTATACCATTAACCTCCGCCAACTGTTTTCACAAACTCATGGCCAGGGAAGAGTAGAGATGAGTCAGTAGGATGCTGGGCCAAAGGTATCATCTTTATGTAGGAAGGATGGCACCATGATTAATCAACCACTTGGCTTTCTATGCCTAGCCACTCACTGAAACACTTCCTTTTAGTTTCCAGAAAGAAAATAATCGCACAGGAAAAATTATTAGCAAACTTAGCCCGGGTAACTATCTCTTTCTTCCTCCCCCAGTCACCAGCCTGTCTCAGGTGCCCTCAGCTGCTACATGAACTAGTGCAACAGGTCCCTAACTGGTCCTGCCACCAGATGACAGTAATTCCCGTGGAGTTGCTTTCATCATCACACCCACCCCCACCTCCTCAAAAATCTCCCACGCCTAACCTTGGCCGTGCGGAACCAGACTTCTTAACCTGGCACTCTGAGGTCTCATTCTAACCTGTTTTTCTGGCTGTACTTCCCATTACTGCTGCAGACCCACCTTGTGTCCCAGCCATGCTACATGCCTCCCCGCCTCTGTGCCTTTGCTCTTGACATTACCTGCAACCTCCTTCTCCCCGTCTTTGCCAGCAGATTCCTCCTCGTTCTCCCAAGGCCAAACTCAGATGGCTTTCTTCCTCTGTGAAGTCTTCACATCTTCTCCTCATCAGAAGTGTGAATTTCTTCTTTTTTTTTTTTTTAAGATTTTATTTTTAAGTAATCCCTACACCCCACGTGGGGCTGGAACTCACAACTCCGAGATCAAGAGTTGCACGCTCTACGGACTGCGCCAGCCAGGCGCCCCAGAAGCGTGAATTTCTATAGCATTTCAGCCACACGCTACAGACACACTAGTCTTATTCTTCTATCACTCTGTAAGCTCTGGTGCACAGGGACCGCGCCCCGTTCATCTTTGCGTGGCCCCAGCATTACGCACACAGCGGGTACTTAATGAAGCCTGGCTAAATTAATGTCAGATGAATGCAGACAGAAAGGCAGCATGATGTAATAGAGTAATAGATCTGGAGGCAGAAGGTCAGGTGACGGGGCTCTCTGCTCGATCACTGAGGAGTGGTGCGGCCAGTCTGAGCCCAATTCTGCATCTGTAAAATGGGCATAATGCTTCCCACCTTATGGACCTTACAGGGCAGGAGGCAGGAATTGTAGAAATCCAATGTGTGCGTCTACACGCACACACACAACGTAGAGGTGATGGATATATTGGTTAGCTTGATTGCGATCATTTCACAACGTCCATCAAAACATCGAGTCGTACACCTTAAACATATACACTTTTTATAGGTCAATATCTCAATGGTGCTGTTAAAAAAAATCCAATGATGTCTATACATACTAGGTGGTGCCAAGGCCAAGGGCAGGCTTCGTCATCTTCAGGAGCCTGCTTCAGGTTCTGTTCTCTCTCTGCCTCCCCCCACTCATGCTCTGTCGCTCAAAAATAAATAAATGCATAAAAAACTTTAAAAATAATGAAAAAAATTCCTAAGTCCCCTTGTTTCTGAGTGGCCCAGCAAACACTTGTTCACCAAACATTTTACTCTTAGTCCCAGACCCCTACACCTCCTTCTCCTTAGTTCGGAGTGACATCTCTACCTCATTTTGCCAGTCTTTGCAATCTCGTGTGTGTGTGTGTGTGTGTGTGTGTGTGTGTGTGTGTGTGTGTGTACTCCCGAACATACATAGGAAATTAAGTTTGGCTTTCTCCCCTTAATCTGTTTCACGTCAATTTCTTAGTTCAGCTAGAAGAACCTCCCACAGAGGAAAAGGTCTTCCTCTCAGAGGAAGGCTGTCCCCAGAACAGCTGACAATACTTCAACCAGCCTTCAAAGTTCCACCCCCTTCTCCTTGGTACACATTCCAAAGTAAGATTTCCATACCACTTTGTGGAGAATGGTGGGAAGTAGGGAGGACTGGAGTCATTAAAACTCTGATAACTGGGGCGCCTGGGTGGCTCAGTCAGTTGAGTGTCTGACTTCCGCTCAGGTCATGATCTCCAGCTTCCTGAGTTCGAGTCCTGTGTCGGGCTTTGCACTGACAGTAGGGAGCCTGCTTGGGATTCTCTCCCCCGCTTTCGCACTCTCTCTCAGGATAAATAAAACTTACAAAAAAAAAAAAACCCTCAGAGAACTGTTTACAGACATCAGGCCAGATGTCGCAAGAGAGCCTTGAGAGAAATGCCCCAGGATCTCACTACCTTTCCTTCCCAGGGGAAGAGAAGGTAACTTCTCCCAAGCCTAGGTCATGCACGCTAGAGACTCAATGAGAAGAATGATTCCATCTGGCTTGTCAGCTGCCAGGTAAGCCGGGCCTCCCAGAAAAAAGGCAAAAATCCCGGCTGTTCGCCTCCAAGGCTTCAACTGTGTGGTTAAGACTGTGAGCTGTTTGTCTAATTCAGAGCCAAGGCCAGTCTTCGGAGTTGGCACTGTGCGCCACGGAATGAGGAACACAGGGACCATCCCAACCCAAGTACAGAAACATCCCCTCTTCCTGAAATTCCATCAGTACCATTTCATTCTTTTAAGCTTGTTTTCAGTTAAAATGCAGATATCTCTGAGCTCTGAGGAAGCTTTGAAGACTCATCTGGTATTTACATGTTTCGATAAGTTTCCTTAAGAAGCAGCTGTTGAGGGCGCCTGCGTGGCTCAGTGGGTTAAGCCTCCGACTTCAGCTCAGGTCACGAT